AGCCTGATGGATCGCTGAGCGAACTTTGTGTGATTGCAGACACAGTAGAAGCCCCAGTTCCTTTTTCCATGTGAGAGTAAGTTGAAGCTACCATAAAACATGCTTGCGATGAGGCGATTCGTGGTCTTTTCTGTCATGCAGGACTCTTTGATTTAACTTACCCCGTTTTGGATGCAGGAGATGGATTCACATGTTTGTGCACTCATGTTGTCTGTCTACGTCCATGCGAATCTCACAACTGTTTCATGGGCGTTTATGCGGTGTGCGCTTTTGCGTGTGCGCGTGTGCCTCCTCCGCGCTTCTTTGCACATGACAGCACTGGCGCATCGGAGTCATTGGCACATCGTGCTCTTTATCAGCACGGTACCCATTCGAACGAATTTCGCACGTGCTGCACAAAAATCTAAGTATGCAAATTGGCGAAATAAATCCTTTTCGTCTGCTTTTAATACGATTTGCAAGTTCCGAATTTTCGGAAAAATTGGGCGTATTTAATTTGGCAATTCCATCATCTCGATTTTAGTAAGTTAGAGAAGAATCAGTTCCTATGTCTGATGTCAACTGGTGCAAGTGGCTTACTTGTTTACTTAGTTGATCGAAAGTTACTTTCATGGCGCACAAATCTGGATTTGCGCATAGGAATGCTTGCGTGATTCTTATTCTATTGGTGGCATGGTTTTGGCATCAATTTTGTTAATAGTTGGAACCATGGAAACGTGTTGCTTAAAAGTTTGTAAACTTTTATTTTTTGACGTTGCTGGATTGGTGTGTTTAAATGGTCCCTTTATTCGGGGAAACGTATGCTAAGGGTAGTTATAAAAGGATATTTCGCCTATGAATACTGTGAAAAACATAGCAGGATATAGCGGCAAGGGTCATCCTTTCTACCTCGTTTTCGTTCAAGTGGTGAAGGGATCCTCCCATGACCGCGTGCTGATTATGGCTTGGGCGAAATGCTATTTGAGCTATTTTTTACACAAGGGACGCGTGAACGTTTTCCGAGTAAACACGCAGTTAAGCATGCAGCTGTTTCTCCAGATCAGTACGACACTATCGTGCCTTTGGAAATTATCACTAGCATTCAATTTACGAGCTTTAACATCGTGTTTTGCAGAAGTGAATGAGTCAGTCTATCCTCAGTGTTCGTGGAGCGGGAGTCCCTACTCATCGGAGCCTCAGGGTCGCCCGGTGTACACAAACACGATGCCGCCACACCACCCTCTGCCTCCGCACCAGGAAGTGGTGTATGGATCCGCCGCGGCGGGTTATCCTCCCTTAGCGGGTGCTAGAGGTGGAGGCGCCACCTACCACCACCGCGGCAGTCCAGCGTCGACAAACTACTATTCGAGTGGTTACGTTGAGCAACAACACCCCGTTGGCCCCATAGCTTCCCCAAACCCACGCGCCTGCTACCCTGCGAGCACGCCCACCTCGATGGACACCACCGCCGCCGCCGGGTATCCGAGTGCTGGGACTGCCGCGGGTCGGTTGCCTCCGGCCGACGCCTACATGGGGGGAGCTCTGCAGTCAGCCAACTCCTCAACCCCGACGTCATCTGCGGCGAGTGACCATCGCTGGTTTTCGTCGGCCCAAATGTGCCTGCCGTAATACGACACCAACTCTGCTACTTTATTGAAAGCGCCACGATCCTATGGCTTCTTCCTCTTTTTTTTTCTAATATAACCTCCTGCATGCTAGTACCGCAGCTGTTAAACACTCACAATTATGTTTCGATTTATCATCTTGCGCCACTTTTGACCGACTGTCTACCTAAACTCCTTTTCGACGAACGCTGGCAACGGTGAAACTTTCGACTTAAAATAAAACAACAAAGGAACACCACAGTGTAGTTGTACTTTTAAAATTGCATAGAATGAAGGTGCATACACTAGCGTAAACTGAAACCATCAGAAACCTGTTTCTTTCGGTAGGAATGTTTTGCGCGTGTCTCGCCTCTTTTTCCTCGGTATTCTTCGATAAGATTACGTTGCTAATTTTGTGTGCAACCTAAATCTTTTCATCTAGCTGTCCCAGTTGTGACGGGGAAAAGATTGAAGTTGCACGATCTTGGTTAATTGGTCATGAAAATTTCATGAAACGTGGGTCGTGTCACTACTATATTCTTTGATAAAACTCGCACACCGTGTCGCGTCCTCATAAAATGTACTACAAAACTGCTGCCTTCAAAAGTTTGGTGCGATCAACCATTTAGATCTTTCCTTCGCACAGTAAATCACCTGTAAAAGAGCCGTTAAAGCAGAACCTACCATCGTTAAAATGAGGTGAATGTATCCGAAATATTTGACACTTGACTCCGGTTGCCTTCGTGACTGTCATCTATGATAGAATTTGGCAGGTAATTGCACTCCGTATTGCCGCGCTGTGGAAACCCAGTTGTTCTACCAACGTGGTTAATTCAATTATCACCAAGCAGACAATTACCGGCGTTGATGCACGCATCACCTTGAACGCGTGCCACGCACCCTGGTTGCTTGCTTGTGCGCCCCAAGTCCGTAGGCTTTTTTCTATTGGTTCCCAATCTTACACATGACACAGGACTTTTTTTATAAGATCAAACTCAAAGAACGTTAACAGTCGGCATGTATCTGGACCTGCCAAAGTACAATCACCACGTAAACGCATTTAGCGTCCTGTCGTAGTCTCTTTCAATTTGGACCCAAATCGAGTGACAGGATTCTACGAACTGCCACAACCCTATACTTGTTTGCTGTTTGGCATCCGGAAGCTTTCACAATTGACGGGCCTAGAGTTGGACCATACGTGAAAAGGACGTGCGACTTCAGTCTGCATTGCAAGGTATATGCAAACGAAAAGCGCACGCGTCCGGTTTTACTGCAGATGGCCTTGTCACCGGTGCGCGCGCTCGCGCCACGCGCGAAGCTTTGCTCGCCCGGATTTGCATGTCCAGGTCGTGTGACTCCTTGCGCTTCAAAATCACACCCACATGGATGACTCATTGTTTTAATGCGTGCGCAAGTCCAAGCGCACGGTAATAACAGACAGATTTGCCCTAAAGTACGTCTTGCGTAAACGCGCACGCATTACATATACATTTGTCTTCTTTACGGTGTGGTTAAATTCAAATCGTTTTGGGGCAGCTGCAAAGAATGCAAATTAACCCAGAAAAAAACTATAACCTAAATGAGGTCTATGCTTACGCCGAAGAGCTCACGCACCTGTACTATGTGCCCTCAGGTAGAGGTGATTCTGTCTCAAGTTCAACCCAGCTTGGCCGAAAGCCTTTTTATTCCTGATCAAACGGTTTTTCGACTTATTAAAACCTGAAGTGCATGCCTCCGTGTGACTGCATTTGGAATCTACAGGAAGGGGCATGTATAAGACAGAATTTTTTGCTGTGTTATGCTAAAATCCGTAAATTAACTAATTCCACTAAATTCTTATGGTTTCGGTGAGATTAGAAGTGCCGCTATTCTGATTTATCGTTGCTGATTCTAAAAGTGATTATTTGTAGGCCAAACCATGACACCTAAAGACTGTTCATTCTACTAATTGAATATTATATCAAACGAAACTCTTAAGTACAATATTATGGGAAGATTAGACAACAGTGAAACCAGCTAATTAGAAAATTGTAGTCCTTTAACAGAACATAAATTGGACGAACCTGCAGGTCAGTGGTAGGGAATCTAACAAAGACTTCAGATTAGGTCATGGGATGCTAGGAGTTATTTTTTTTTAACGGGCTGACCTGCAGCTGAGTTATCGTAAAATACAAATAACTTAGAGCATTCCTAGACCGTAGCATTCAAAAAGTACACAAATATTAGACTGCTGTCTATCGTTCTGCGATACTTTTTCTGATTACCACATTTTAGCAAACATAAGTGATGAAATATTTACAAAGCCACTCAAAAACGAATCACCTAGTAATCAATCAAAAAGGGGAGTAAATGCCATCAATGGAGCTGGGATTACTCGACTGTCAATAATTAGATAAGTATTTCCACGAGTGGGATGAGTGGTTGTGACGTGTCACGTTGGATCAGGAGTATGTGGACTGGTACTTAAGTTCGCTAACAAGTTCACCTTCGGTCACCATGGCGCAATGCGCCAAATGGTGTGTGGTCAGACTTTGTAGCCACTGCGATGGTTTTATCGTAAGAAATCATTTGTTCATGAACAAATTGGTGAAGCCCTTGCAAGTACCGACACAATCAGGCTAAAACCGCTGGGATGCAAACTGAGGACCTGAGTTAAAGGTGCCTGTTTCATAAATAATTGAAATTTTCAAAATCGCTGTTCCAAGTTCTTGAACTGGACACCTAAACAAGGAAGATACACCCACTGTCAAATTTGCGGTCGTGTTCTAGAGAAAAGACCACGAATCGCCTCATCGCAAGCATGTTTTATGGTAGATTCAAATTACTCTCACATGGAAAAAGGAACTGGGGCTTCTACTGTGTCTGCAATCACACAAAGTTCGCTCAGCGATCCATCAGGCTGTTGGACCAACTTCAGGAGAAATCGCATCAAGCAATTGTTTTGTGAGTTGAGCGGTCACTGGCAAATGGGCGTCAGATTTCCGACATACTCCACTTACTTCAGCTCTTCCTGTGAAGGGGTATTTGTCTAAGCACAGATCTCTTAGGGTGGCACCACACCGCCTCAATCCATTCGAGGCCGACACTGCGACTAAGAAGAGTATTTGATAACAGCCCTGAACATTTTCTACAGACGAATGGTAATTATCTCACGATCAAATGAAGAACTTGACATCGCTTGGAAATGACCTTATAACCTCTCCCAGGTTGATGGACAGAGGGAGTTCTCCTTGGGATTATTTCTCTCGATGATCAGGGTGACTCCAAACTTTACTTACAGATGTTTCAACCTGTAAATGGGACCATGATCGACTAAATAACCGCAAGGTGTTCAGACCATGTGGCCGATGCCTCATTTGCGCTAAGCGTGGTTTTGTGCAACCCAATATTTTCTGGGATGACAGTAGTGAAAGCCTTGTGTTTCGTCCAGATGCAAAGTTATGCAATGTCAGCTAATTTTTCCGTCGCATGTTAGCGACCCTTTTGCTTCTCTCTGCGTTAATACTTATGTTCCAGAGGCCGATGTTTCGACTAACTTCGGATCCTGTGAGGTGATAACATGCGTTATGGATGGAATTTCGTGGTCGAATTTCAGCTGTCATCCTTGCTGAAATTAAGAGGATATTTTGCGTTGGCCGAACAAATCATGAGCCGAATCACTTGATATGCTCAGCTCTAGGCCAGACTACGCTATCAATCCACCTATTTTGAAATTTAACCACACTTCTCAAGAAAGTTCATCTGAGCTTCCTTTGTTGAAGTGAAATAGATATCTGTTTAGACACGGGTGTACACACTCCAAATCCTGAAAGGCAACAGATATATGTCCTGAACAGTGTGCGCGGATATGCATAATTGGTAAGCTTTGCTGTAAAATGCCCGAGTTATAAGTGGACAATATGCGTCGCGTTTGGTAGAAGACACTACTCTGGCAATAGCCCTCCGTATCTGAATGTTAATAGCCACTGACGAACTACACGTAGCATCCGTTTGGATATCGCGTTAGCTACGTGTGCTTCGGTAACGTCCGCGGAAGTGCACTTGAGAAGGAAAACCCTGCCATGGAGGACCAGAGTTACAAAACTACGTGTTCCGCCTACATGCAGTTCTCCAACTTTAGTAGAGACCTCTGAATGCAGAAACTTAAAATTAAAAACACAGAAACTCGTAAACAACACAAAGCGACAAATACTGAGGTCGTCAACTTCCCCTGATTTGTTTTAAACAGAAATCATAATAACAGTCTGCATTGATTTTTGGGTCACGCTACACACTTCCTTACCACACACCAGTCAAGTACCAGGTTAAGCCATAGAAATCAAAACGAAACAAGTTGTAAGTCCAGTACTTATCAAGGCCCGGGTACTTTCGCAGACAAATAGAAACAAAGGCATATTTCTGTAGCATGCGAGCAAGAACAGAGGCGGTGAGAGGAGGCAAAAAAACCGGTTTATTCTTTTCGAAGCATCGCCAGTTCCCGGCGTATTTCAGCAGGCAGTTCAGAGCGCGCTACTTCGCGCTCATTTCGAGCGTTGATGCGACGTAATTTGACCACACCACGTTGCAACTCAGAATCGCCTATAAGAACTGCTAGGGGGATGCCAGTATTCTCACAGTACTGCAGTTGATCGAGCAATTTGGGCTGGTTTTTGTGGGAGAAAGCGGTCTAAAATGAAGCAGAGGTCAAGCAAATATACAACACCTAGTCTTGATACATGCACAGACTAGGGCGATAATATGTTTGGATATAATGAATTCACGAAGTTGACAAGGATAACTGATGAAAAACAGGTAAAGGCCCTACTTTTATCTTGGCGTCCCACAGCTCCTTTGCGACTTCGAGGCGGGGCGTAATTAGTCCTTTGTGGGCTACGATCACCATCACGTCGGTCTCGGTGGCACGCACCTTGTTTCCATCGGCGTCACCAGAGGCAGCACGTTGCTTCGTGAGCATCTCAGATATGGCCAAGAGGCGCTCAATGCCGAAGCTTACGCCCACACAGGGCACTTTTGGGGCGCCGGGAGTGAAGAGGGTGACCAGATTGTCATATCGACCACCTCCGGCGACACTACCAACGGCTCCTTCCTGAAAACCCTCTTCGACCACTTCGTGGCCCTTCTTGCCTTCCTTTTTAGTTTTTCCCAGTACTTGAGTCACCGGCTCCATCGTTGTCGCCTGTTGCACGTCATTGTAGGTAAAGCCTAACACCAGTACGTACTTAAATTAAACGAGTAGAGGATGTGAATTAGGATTTCAGAAAAGGCTGGAACACGGCTATCAGAGAGCATAGCAGGGAAGCCTCATTCAATAAGGCACTCGAAAAACACCAAGCTTTTGCATGGAGAGATGGTGAGGGAAACCTTCAAAAGACGTTTAAGGAAAAAAACCCTGAGTTTCCAATTAGAGATACCGTGGATGTTGGCCTCATGTCTTCTGGAAAGTGAAAACTCCAATAACGGCGAGCGTCCGTCTCAAGATAATACACTAAGGTTATGCAGCGAATAATTGCACAGGAAGCGCGTTTTGGCAGAGATTAGTGACAATATAAACTGAAAGATTCTCGTGCTTCAGCCTCAGCGGCTGTGGAGCATACTAGCTTGAGCGACTGATTGGGTGAAGTCAAGCATCAAACCCAAGCCTATTCAAAAAAGGCGTGTTTACGGCGTGAACACTTCTTTGTGACAAACTTGAGTTTGTCATAAAAATTCGCAGCACATACCTTTGAGGACAGCTTCATAGATGACACCAGTATAGTAGTCGAGCCCACGAGCAAGTGACATGTCGAGTTTTAAACGGTCCATAATGCCAAGTGCTTGACAGTAGCTCAATAGTGTTTGCATTTCCTTAAGGGTCTCTTGAATAGCGACCACATTGGCTAGACGAGGATCTGCTGCCAGTTTGTCGAGTACTTCGGCACCACCCGTGATTTGGGTATACTCACCAATCAGTTCGACGGTGGCCGGTGAGAGACCCTTCTCCTGGAGCAGTTCAAGCTTCACGTCTTCCCATGGCGCCTGTCGGAAAGTGAAGAAAAACACAAATTCGCTCTAAGACCAACAGCAAATAAAATTTGCCAAAGGCAACATTAACAGCAACAGGAGTTCATGTCAGACTCTATGTACATAGGAACAGGCGAATGTTTGTTTGAAGGACATCTTACCGGGACGACTTTAAATAACGAGATGCGTGACGAGCAGACGCTCTATCAAACTACGCATAGCGGTCTAGCTTATCCAGAACGGCGAAAAATACGGAGAAGGTGAAAATGAATAAGGAAATCTTGCCTTATCGAGTTTGTCCACGGAGGAGCAAGTTGTGGCAAACTTTTCGGGGGGAACTCCACAGGCAGAGAAAAGGCCGTCGAGAAACCGCCTGTGGTTTAATTTAATCACAAACTCCCCAAGGTTTAGGTCTCGCAATACCTCATATACAACACGCAAACACTCGGCATCGGCCATCATAAGGCCAAAGTCCCCGGCGATATCGAAATCCTGAAAATAACAATGACTTGTGGTTATTGAGATTTTCGATATCTGTACAGACGAGCAAAAATGATGCGTTGTTTCTTGGCTAATGATTACAGACAAAGGCTTCGGGACCCGCTTTGAAGACAATTTGCTGGGACGCAGTTAGGCCACTTAATGGATAGTAACACAAACCACCCACAAACTTAAAAAATCGAACATTTTCATATTTCCTCCGAAAGCAATCCACATGACTTAGATTGTGGGGAATCTGGGGACCGCGGTACATTAAAAGGTTGGTATCAAGATTAAATCCTTGGTTTTTTTTGAAGATTACTTGACTAAGATCAAGCTAGAGCTTGTGGTATAATGATCTCAATGTCGCACAAAAGCCTACAGACGAGTATTGTTTTCAAAGATTCTAAGCATGTTGTCTCATGAAAACTATTATACTAGGGTACTGCTAAAAATTAGAATCAGCTGATACGTTGCGAATTGCCCAAACCACCTTCGAGTGAAGATTTGTCATTGATTACCTAACTATACAAGTCACTGCAGCCTGACCGGTTAAAATAACCGCCTCGACTTTAGCAGTTTAAGCTTTGTCGACACGACTTAGTGCTTTTTTAGGTTTGAATGAACTGTTCTGGGGAAACGCTAAAGTCAACGACCCAGCAGAGGTTTCAAAAAATCATTGCTAGTAACTAATGTCACTTCAATTTATTTAAGGAGACACAAATTTTTAAGGAGCATGCGAAAGGATACTTCTGACTAAAACATAAGTACAGATAAACGTCGATTTAGGTTGTAGAAAAAGATTTCACGGCTTCCATCAACAGAGGGCAAAGTGGTCAGGGACAAGCAATGCACTTCTAAATCAATAAGTGTTTCGTAATCTGATATTCCCCTCGACTGATTACGCGCCATCATGAAATGTCTTCCACGGCCAACTCTTCTCCCCTTTTAATGCGCTGAATGTCGCAAATGGGATTTTGCTTCCCAGCGTTATGCTACTGCATTACCTTACCAAATTCTCCGCCTTGGACTTATCAAATGACGTTTTTGCAAATAGTTAATGTGGTATTTACATCATGGTGCTCAATGTAATTTCGATAATCATAAAAGCTTGTGGGGATACAGAGTACGGACCTTACAAATACCCCGTCGGTTTATTAACTGCATTTGTATGTGTTCCACAAAAATTACTCTAAAAAATCTAACATGGACGTCGATTAACAACATCCCGAGAAATAAGGAAATATAATTTATGAGGAATATCCACAGAAATTCTGCAACTTCAGTGTATGCGGTTTCGCGAATTGAACGGGTATTTAATCAAGCCAACGGATAGTACGAGAATGATATAAGATTACGAACATCTGTCTTAAACAATGCTCCAGTTTTGAATTAACAAATACGCTTTGTTTTAATTTAAAGCAGCCTATTAAGGAAGGAAGCAGAGACCTCAATGCACCCAGCTTCACCAAATAGGAAAAGCTAAACTCATACTGTTGCGCAATTTGACGGTGTTACACAAGTGGTTGGGGGGGCCTTTAGCTACCACCTTCAGTCTGATCCCAAGCTAAACACGTTTCATCGTGCCGAACACTCGCCTTGGCTCAGCTCTAACAGCCAAACAACGGAAATGACGGTCAACGAAACTGTGGGCGAAAAGATGAAACGTCATGGGACTAATCTCATCTGGAAGTGAAGTGAAACAAGTCAAAGATAGCAGTGAATTTAACTTACACATTGATAAAATTCGCGGAATCGCCCACGATTCATTGCCGGTTGATCACGACGATAAACCTTGCCTATCTGGTATCTTTTTATAGTTTTTATTTTATTCATTGCAACGTATCGAGCAAAAGGGACCTACGGTAAAAAAAAAATTAGGCTGATTGAAAGCAATGTAGCGATAATACATAATCCAGACGTAAATCTAAGACATATTTTGGACATGTATGTTAATCAATGTGCTGCGCAGCATACAACTGGCAAGAAACTTTCACAAACTAAGTAGATTGCACTGATTTGAGGCAGGAGTCAGGATTAAAGTAACAAAGTAGGACCACATGTGTGCAGAAAGTACATAATGGAACTAGTGTTTAATGAAAGTTAGGGTTCATGCAAAGGCAGAAAAAAACTGGCACTTAAACGACTGTATAGCGCTACCAAAAAGCGGAAGCAAAAAAGGGGACTACTGGGGCGCGAGGATTTAACAAAAGCTAAATGGAGAGACCCTAATACAAGAGATAATCACGCTAATTCGACAGGATATAAATAGTAGGTGTCGACTTTATTTTAGTGTACAAAAGAGCGTCATCAATAAAAACATAAAAGGCAGGAGGTTACTTACCGTCAAATCATAACGAAGCGACAACAATTCACCACCTTGATCTTCAAGGTCATAAATGAGTTTTGAATCCTCTCCGTACTTTCCAGTCAAAACTTCCTTGAGTTCGAAGACTGGAGTTTCAATGGAAACTGCATCGTGACGCTTAAAGCAATTCTGGATGACAGTAAAGACTTCCTCCAGGACGCGCATTTGAAAAGGGTTCCTATCTCGAGTACCCTTTGGAGTCTTTAAAACGAAGGACTGGTCTGCCAATTTTGTGGAAGACATTTCCTTTCCAAGCTTATGAACCTTAATAAAATAACATCTATTGCTTTTTAAGCAAGTTTTTCTGCAGATAAATCTCAGAATAATAGACTAAGTTGCGAACCTGAGTGGGCGAAGTTTTTAGGTTTCGAAAAAAACGTAGGTAATTACATAAAAAAATACTAATGTGTTGATAAGAAAAATGAAAAAGAATACCTTTTTTCGAACATCTGTATCCTGCATTTCACCAACTACCAACCACCACAAGATTTTGCACTCAGTATGACACTGGGCTAGCGTCAACTGAAGGCCTCATACAGCATCAGCAATAACATCTGTTCAGAGAATCAGTTCAGAAAAATTAGGTTCGCATATGAAAGAAGTATTTCAGTTTTGAAAAAAAACTCAAAACCTTCCATGTTTGTGTTAACATTTAAAATAAATTATTTGACGCTTTCTTAAATATTTAAGCGTGCATAAAAGGAAAAATCATTAATATTTCAGGAATAAGATGAACCGATTTGCAAAGCTAAGTACCGAACGCTTAGGTACAATTCAGTCATGCGTGCTTCAAATCACTGCCATAGCCGTTAGGCAGAAAAGTGTTAGTGGAAAAGTGATATTGAATTCACACTTGCTTTTACAAAACTACTGCGCTTGGTAAGAAGTCGCCTTTAATGCGTTCAGCATCGTAGCGCCCTTTTGCCGAAACAGTTGACGAGCACTCTTCCCTGCCTCTTGCTTGGGCAGGATGGGTGCATGTTCTGCAAAAATGTGACATGACGAATGACAAACACGTTAGGCAAGACGCATGAGCTACATCCGTGTTGTTTGAAATTTACCGACGGGTGGGTAAACAAAAGGTCCAACATGAGTCTAATTTCACGCACACATGTAACAATTAATCAGGCTAACTGAGGGGAGGAGTTTAGTTGAATCGACTTCCAAAAGCCAGGTGCAGTAAAGGTTGATTATTTGACGACAGTCAGCTGTGTTGTGTTGTGCATGATGTATGTGTTACCAAAAACGTAAAGGGTGATCGGTTGAGTGATTGCGCGCTGCCACAGCGAGGAAGGACGGTGTCTCGGAAGAACTGTAATTTCTGCAAAACAAAAATGAAATGTTTCCTTGGACTTGTGGCTGCCTTGCACACGGTGACGCATTCTCTGCCCTGAAATCACAGACGCGTTTGTCAATGATTTAAGTCAGTGAAACTGATATGAAGGCACCTTCGTATCCTGACAAATAGCTTAGGAACTGTTGCCTCAGAAAGGCCCAATTATTTTGCTAAGTCATTTTGGCACAGGCTTCTGCGATGCATTGATATCGCGAAATCACTTTCCTCTTCCGGTTAATATGGTCGTTTATTCATTAGGGGCTTAACACACCCTAGGTCGGAACTTGACTTGGAAGTGGCTAATTAGATCCATGATAGAGTTAATGGAAAATTGTCACGGTGCAGGCAAACATGGATTTAAATTGTGGGCTTTTCAGAAGGAGCTTTGTATACTTTTCCCGAATTTCTTTTTGTAAGGAGCAGGACGCTTGCATTGTAAGCAGTGGTTTTCAGTTTAAGGCGATTTTTCCATCACCTGTATGATGTTGGTGCATGTGCGTGGTTTTTATTAAAAAAAACTGTGTATTTCCTGTGTGGTCGTGGATTTTCGTCGTTGTGTTAGATTGTGAACATGAGCCATCTCTTCGAGGGTTTTCAAAGGGCGGTACGATGTGATTGCGGCGGTTTCCGATTAAAATTCTCCATAAGTTATTTACCGCCTTAGGAGTCGATATGGTCAAAAGCATTATTTTTATAACACACTTCTTAGTTCAGAATGAACTTGGTGAGCTAAACCGTCAGCCATTGTACGTAAAGCACTTTTCGTGTTGGGACATATGCTGCCTTTTGGTTCCTCGATGTAGATTTCAATTTTACATTTCTTTGAGTCTATAATTGTCGTTTCTTTCTTATTTACTGTCATATAAGTTTTAAAGGGGTTAGCCATAAGCCTTTGAACTGACGTAATTGTTTTCCACATTAGCAAATAATATCCTTTATTAAAGTTATACATTTAATTATGAGCTGCACGCATAATGATAAAAGAGTGAATTATGTACTTTCGACCTAGTTTTTCGAAATGTTTAGTAAAGAATTAATTTAATTTTTCACTAAATCAGAATTTTTGAATTGATTTTGTTTATCAATCTAAGTATTTATTATCCGATAATTATATTGGAAGTCAAAAAGTTGTTTATTAATGATTACTGAATAAAATACTGTCATCTGATTTCTATGTGTAAAATCTTTTGAATAAGCAAATTTGGTTTTCTTGATGATCTTATTTAACGGAAAATAGTCTTAACAAATTTAAGCTTTTTTGATTTATTAACACCAAACTTTTATGGAGTAAAATGGTCCCCCTTGAGAAGTTTGACTCCTCGCTTTCGAAAACGGATACATTGTTGAATCTATAGTTATGCTTCTAAGTTTTACTACTTCAATTTTGCCTAAATTAGATGCATGGTAGTCTTGACATAAGTTTTACTCTCGAGGCTACTCTTGCGTAATTCGAGTAAAAAGGGCCAAATAAATGTGGTGTTCTTCCCTTGTACTTTTTTCATGAATTATAGTCCATGCCGAGCCTGGTGGTTAGGCAGACAAAGGCAGCACGGGAAAAACACTACCATCTTATTAAATGCATTGTGAAATGTCATGACTTTTGACCCTGTCATATGGGTTTTTTGAAAAATAATAAATTTAAATTATAATTTATTATTTTGACCGACTGGGTTCACACCAAGTTTTTCGGTACAATTAATTTTCTTTCTACAAGTTCTGCATTGTCCTATAAAAAACAGTTGTTTTCTAATTTAAATGTCGTTCGATTCCACTAGATTGCCAGAAAAATTACACACATTTAACTAAATCGCTAGATATTAATAACTGTAGAGTCTCATCTCTGTGTAGACAGAAGAGGACGTTATACTTACAATGGCTTCTCAGATGTAATCGAAGTCTGCTAGCATGCGAATGTCACGCATTGTGGCTTATAAAAGATTGGTCTTTATAGCATCATCATGTAGAAGCCATTTCAAGGTCACGTCTAAAAGGTCTGATATTACAAAATAACATTGTGACACATTTAATAATATTCTCTTGCAATAGTGAGGCTTTGTTCTAGAAATCTTGCATTTGCTCTTCAACGAATGTAGTTGCGTTAACTTTGTTCCAAGCTTTCGAATGTCAAAGGTCACGTCTCAAAGGACAGGACTAACATTACGCATTAGAAAACATTCACAAAATTGTTAAATATTACAAAAATAAGTGCACAGTTCCGCGAAGTTTGTTGTGAATTGACTTACATCAGTCTAAGCACTCGGAAGGCTCCAGTGAAATTTCAGATCGGTCGAGAACGCAGTATTTTGTACCTTTGTTTGATTATTGAAAGGAAGCAAGAGCGATAATTTAAATTATATTAAAAAAAATTATGCAAACACATTTACTCAGGCTGTAAACACATGATGGAACACGAAAGTGAGTGAAGAATTACAGTAAATTTCAAATATTTTCTACACGCAATTCGATGGCTCAGCGGACTGCAATTCCGATGGTGTCAATACTATGTTAGGACTAATTAAATATGAAATTTAGATTTAAGTCATCATGCTTTGCAATGTATGGAGATCCATTCCAACTATTTGGCCCATGTAGCTTTCATTTACAGCGTCATATTTGCTAGTGGTGTTGGTGATTAAGAAACTGCATTGACGATTAGATTAAAAAGATTTATAGTGGATAAAGGACTCAAAAACTTCAACAAATGGAAAATGACAATTATATTTACTAAAAGCTGTTAAATGGTCCTACTTAGAGTCTACCAGTTCTTCACCAAGAACAAAGGGAGTCCTGTCGATACATCTTTGTAATCCACACTTGAAAATGAACTTTCGCAAAACTAGACGATTAGCATATGTGACAAACTATTGAAAGCTATTTGCTACGGCCAGAAACCGAAGTTGATATGGACAACTCCCAGATGAATGATCCAAACAATGCCATGGTGGGATATCGGACATCAACGGAAGTGCCATCCAAGACTCATACTTAAATACCTTCCAAGTTAACATATAATTAGAAGGGTAGCTTATGAACAAGATAGAAATCACATAACGTTCCACTTTCTCTCATAATTTTTCATTCAGTAACAGCCACTTATTACAATGTTGGATCAATGAGAAAATGAAATGAGACCTTTTACATTATGTACCATGGTATACAAGCGTTTTCTAAAGTTGAACCCGCAAAACCTTTTAAAGACATTCTTAGGATTCATCCGCAAAAATGTATGAAAGGAATTGCGCGTATTGCAATTACTTGGTGTTTTTATCTTTATGCATTATATGCTCAAATCCCCTAAAATACCTCACGAAAACAAGGTGGATTATTTCTGTCTTGTAGAACGACTTACTTTTTTAACGTACGTTATGTAAGCGTTCCCGTTTCGTAGTGTATAGCCACGCGAAAACAATAACAGCTGGTGTGTTCTGTCACGTAGTAATTGCACGCCAATAGTGGCAACATTTCCTGTAAATCCAAATATTGCTGGCGTATCGGGTTACTAGCCTAGTGAAACGACTAAATCTGTGCCTTATTGAACATAAAATTCACACTAGAGAACTGACTTGCAAATAATTGTGCTGCAGCGCAGAACGACACAAAGGACCCCAAATTGATAAGAGGACCAAGATTCATGGTCGTCCAACTGACTGCGTTACTGCGTTACAAAGTAGCAGAATTTATTTATGCATTTTCCTACGACTGACAGTTAAGTCAGTAAGCATCCTCGGTGCTTTTTCGTAACACAACTGATTATTCTGCTTGGACAGGGTTGGTGATTTAATGGGGTAATGTTAGATTGCATTTTTGGCAATTAACACGACAACGTGAGAATTGATCAAGGTAGTTTGCTAGCGTTATTACCGAGCACGACAGAACGTTTTTGAGTTTGATTGCTTGATTCCTGTTT